ATTCTCATTTGGTTTATTTGCTTTTGTATTACCTGTACACTACAGTTCCGAATCAGAATGGTGGTCCATTCCTCTGCCCGAATTGAACGAGCATTGCCAGTTATAGCAAGGTCTTCCACTCTATTCATCCCCTGGAGTGCCTTATACAACTTTTGCTGGATGTAACTACAGTCACCTTCTTCCAGTACTTGGGATAGTCTGGAAATGAGGAAATAACAGCTTTGACAGAGTGATTTGCAGGAGAGAGGGACTATTCTCAAGACAAAAAACTCCCCTCCTCAGTAATGACTATTTCATGGTGTTCTTTGCTCTTGTAATGAGTCAACAGAATAATTGTAGAAATATCAGTACTGAATGGACAAAATTGCAATCCTTTCTAAAACAAGAAGAGAAAAGATGAATTTGTCAGGCTAGCAAATAATGATCAATGCTACAGAAGACAGTGACAAGCAAGTCCACTCCCTCCAAATGTGTCAAGGACGGTGACTGCAGAGTGTTCTTACCTGAGCTTGCATCCTGTCTTTGTATTTCTTCCAAACCGTACTTTCTGCCTGAGGAACTGTGAGCAACTTCCATCACCTTGGCTTTGTAAAATGGTCATCTGACAGACTACATGTCAAGAAACCAAACAAAAGCATAAACGGACACCAAAATTTGTACTTAACATTCCTCCTACTCCACGTGATTCTCCTTAACCTTATCAGAGGACTATGATTCAATGCTGACCAAAAGGCCTGACAAATGCTGCAGTGTAATACTGAAGAATACTCTCAAAAGTCCAGAAAGTCAATAAATTCAGTGACAAATAAAACCTGAAAGCAAAAAGGATACATGCTGCCTGGCACCATCATTTGTAATCAACAATGGTGCTCCAACAATGTAGCCAGGGTTTCCACTTCGAGGCAAGGTTTGAGAAAGAGTCCTTGTCTATAAATAGGCAAAAGGGAGAACCAAGGCAGGAGAGTTTATTACAGGGGAAAATGCAAACATTATCATCAGTCAGATCCATCCATTCTATAAGAACAAATTCACATTTTCAGACAACATAAACATAACTGATTTTTGGAGCAACTAAATATTACGCACTACCAAAACCTCCATTATTTGTTTCCAAATTTTCCTTACTCAGCAAGTTTACCTCCAGTCCAGGAGCTAGCAAACTAAATGTCATTGTCCTGAAATGTGAACGCTACCCAGACAATTCTTGAGGCATGAAATTCATACTGCTCAGCATTTCTCTCAAAGGCAATGAACATGTCAGTCTGGGCTGTTCCATAGCCAGGACAATGATCTACAGAACAAATCCTGCTTTGACCCTGATTCGGAGCAGTGCATTCCAACTCTGAATTGTTTTATGAAGAGAACCTCTGGGGATAACTTCATCCACAGCTCTGTTATCAACCCCTGAGGTTACCCTTATCCCACATAATACCGCATCGACAAGAGAAAGTTTATATGAACTGCAACATACATTAGTACTTTCTAGAGTTCCTCCCCTTAAAAAGTAATTCTTATTTCCACTATAAGGGCAAAGTTAAATAAATATCTGGAATAACTATAGTAAATTTGTTCTCAAACACTGAACATCTTGAGCACAGCACTTAACTTCTCCCTGTCCTTCAGAAAAACATGCCCCAGTGACGCTGATCTATCTCACCCTCCCCACTGCTTCCTCTTTCCCCCCTCCACTCCATCCCTCAAAAAAAGAAAACAGAAAACAAACAAACAAA